TTTTTTTTTTTTTTTTTTTTGAGACAGAGTCTCACTCTGACACCCTGGGTTGAGTGGTGGCCTCATCCTAGCTCACAGCAACCTCAAACTCCTGGGTTCAGATGATCCTCCTGCCTCAGCCTTCTGAGCAGCTGGGACTTCAGGCACCCACAATGATGCCCAGCTAATTTTTCTATTTCTAGTAGAGAAGGGGTCTGGGCTCTTGCTCAGGCTGATCTCAAACTCCTCAGCTCAAGGGATCCTCCTGCCTCAACTTTCCAGAGTGCTAGGATTACAGACATGAGCCACGGTTGTTTTCTTTCTTTCTTTCCTTTTTTTTTTTTTTTTGAGACAGAGTCTCACTTTGTCACCCTGGATTGAGTGTCTGGTATCATACCTTACAGCAACCTCAAACTCCTAGGCTCAAGCGATCCTCTTGCCTCAGCCTGCCAAGTAGCTGGGATTACAGGCACCTGCCACAATGCTCGGCTAGTTTTTAGAGATGGGGCATCCATCTTGCTCAGGCTACTCTTGAACTAAACTCAGGCAGTCCACCCCCCCCGCCCCCAGCCTCCCAAAGTGCTAGGGCTATGGGCATGAGCCACTGCACCCAGCTCTATTTTCTTTCTTTCTTTCGTTCGTTCATTCATTTATTCTTTTTTCTTTTGAGACAGAGTCTCAGTTTGTTGCCCTCAGGAGATTGCCATAGGGTCACAGCTCACAGCAACCTCAAACTCTTGGGCTTAAGCCATTCTCTCGCCCCAGCCTCCCAAGTAGCTGGGACTACAGACGCCCGCCACAATGCCTGGCTATTTTTTGCTTCTAGTTATTGTTGTTTGGCAGGCCTGGGCTGGATTCGAACCCACCAGCTCTGGTATATGGCAGGCGCCAAGCCTCTTATTTGATTTCTTTTAATGTGTAAATCATAGATATAGGCCAACCAAGCACACTGGCTCACATGTTTAATCCTAGCACCTTGGGAGGCGAAGGCAGAAGGATCAGTGGAGGCCAAGAGTTGGAAAACTAGCCTGGTTAACATAGCAAGAACCTGGTAGCACCCATAGCTCAATGGGTAGGTTGCCGGTCACATACACCAAGGCTGGTGGGCACAAGCCAGCTAAACAATGGCAATCACAACAAAAAAAATAGCCCGGCATTGTGGTGGGTGCTTGTAGTCCCAGCTACTTGGGAGGTTGAGGCAAGAGAATCGCTTAAGACCAAGAGTTTCAGGTTGCTGTGAACTGTGATGCCATGGCACTCTACCCAGGGTGATAGCTTGAGACTCTGTCTCAAAAACAAAGAAAGAAAGAACATAGCAAAACCCTGTCTCTACAAAAATAAAAATCAAAAATTTCACTGAGTGGCTCAGCACTTGTAGCTCAGTGAGTAGGGCGCTGGCCATATACACCAAAGCTGGAGGGTTCAAGCCCGGCCCAGGCCTGCTAAATAATAATGACAACTGCAACCAAAAATACCAGTCATTGTGGTGGGCACCTGTAGTCAGGTGCCTCAGGAGATGGAGGCAAGAGAATGGCTTAAGCCCAAGAGTTTGCTGTGAGCTATGATGCCACAGTACTCTACCCAGGCAAGTACAACATAGTGAGACTCTGTCTCAAAAAAAAAAATCTTTTTTTCACCAGGTATGATGACGTCTACAATAGTCCCAGCCACTTGGGAGGCTGAGCCTACAGGATTGCCTAAACCCTGCTGTTCCAGGCAGCAGTGAGCTGTGATTGCACCACTGCACTCTAGCCTAGGCAACAGAGTGAGACCCTATCTCAAAAAAGTAAATAAATTAAAAAAAATTAATTAAAACAAAAGACAAGCTTTGCACATTGGCACTATCATAGCCAATGAGGTTTATCCGAGGCAGAATTATTGCTAACTGAAAACTTTTCCCAAAGCCCCACCATGACAACGTGAAATATAATCAGCATCGGCAATCTTGGGCAGTCTCTGTGGAGACTGAAAACAAGAAGGAATGAATGAATAAGTAAATAAAACAAAAACGGTTGCAGCAAACATTTTTTTCATGGCTATTTCCAAAATTTCTCTAGTAATGACACCAATTCTAAGATAATGGTCATATATCTGCAAAAACTTTAAAGTCATCCACTCACAGCACTGAACGCCCCAGTCCTCTTGACCCTTGTCTACCAGCACCTATCTAATTCTCTCACCCCTCTTGCCACTCCTCACTTATATTCCCTGCTGTTTCCTTAACTTGGCATATGCCTAGTCCATTCACCCTACTTCCATGCTCCGTGGCTCTGCTCTCACCGTCATGTCTCCTGGGATGGGTCCCAGATGGATTCCCTTGCCAGCCTTGGCTTCTCTCCTGAATTCATATCCTGCATTCCCATCAGTCAGTGGGACTTTTCTACCTATCTTGTTCAAACAAAAATTTCAATGTAACCAAGACATAATTCATCTCCTACTCACTAAACCATCTCCTCTATCTTTTCTCTTTCTGGGAATGGCCCAGAGTCTCCCATGAGCCAGGCTTCAAGCAGTGGAGTCTTTTTTTTTTTTTTTT